GGTAAACAGACTGAATCTAAATGTGCAACCGACCCACACTACAAACACGTCCAATTAAATGTCAGAGTCCACTCTTAGATCTCTGTGTGTTTACTTTCTCAGTAGGTAGGGAACTTATGTTCCAGCCTTGTGACCTTTGCCCTCTCTTCTCTCAGTCACCGACTGGCAGGCCTGGGGACAGTTTGTGCGTGTTTGCACACGTGTGTGAGTGTGTGTGGGTGGCTGTGTGACCAAGTGGGACACTAATGAGCTGACTGATTACAGTGGAAAGCCTCGGGTTATCATTAGCTCTCCCAGGATCAAACATCAGATCAAGCCAACAGCAGGGCGGGGAGGTGCAGGCCACAATTAGATATTTGTTTTTCCACAGGAAATCTGCACGAATTTACAAGGGAAGAATTTTTTTTTAGGGTGCAAATCTTAAAGTTTTATTCTGATTAAAAAGGCATTCACAACATGCCTCCACACTGGTGTGCACAAACACAACCAGCCAACGTGTGTATTTAAATGTATCCACAAAAGGCATTAGTAGCCGCCATCAATGGGCTCCCTCAGACAATCGGGACCCACAGTACACAAGAGGAACAATCTCTCATCAGCAGCTTAGGGGTTTTGCAGACAGCATTGATTGTCTCGCCCCTCGCCTGTAATGAGATAGCTGCTTGCTTGACGTCTCCATGAGAACGTCTGCATTTCCACACATTATTATTAACCCAGCAGACTCAGGAGGCTCTCCCCATGCAGCCACTGCTCATCGTCACAACTGAACAAAAGATCATGGGAGGTTTGGGTGGTATTTCAGGACAAGTGTTTCTCCTGTAGGTCTGCAATGTAGTGGATAATAGCAGATAATTCCAATTTGACACTGTTTGTTTTTAGTTTTGGCCACTGTTTTATTGGTTATTGAATGAGAAGATTGTTCTCACTGAACTGAGTGGTCAGACGATCAGAAAGATAAGAAACAACCCAGCAGTTTACCACTTTTTATTCAGACATACAACTTTAAACTAGAGGCATCCAAGATGGTGGGAATTTTCCTTCATTGCACAAGAAAACTGCGTATGAACACAAGTATGGTAATTATGGTCAGCCAAAGTTGCACCAGCGAGTCAGTCCATAAACCGTGATGGATGTTTACAAAGGACAATCAGGGTAATAATTTTACATTTGCATTTGTTTGTTCTTCCAGAAAAAGACTGGGTCGCCTGGGAGTTGTTTAAAGCTGGGGTTTGCAGTTTTCCAGAAAGGGCAAAAAATAAATAATGGCAGAATTAGAAAATACACCCTTCCACTGCAGCTCTCCCCTTACTGTCCTAACGCCCTCCCATCAGACAACCACGGGAATATGCACGCACTTCATACAGTAACGCAGTGTTTCCTATGTAATGATTTATTAATTCTTATGTCATTGTAGAGCTCTCTCTGTTTATCAGGCCACATATTAAACAAAAATTAGTGGGCTACCACATCCAATAGTCCCTCCATCTTGCCCTCTGCCACCACTGAATACTTTGCCAGGGGGAGGGTGGGCAGCAACTCCAGGGACGAACCTTTGGTCTGCGGCTATAGCAGCTGGTGGCCAGTGGAGGCACCAGGTCTAATCTGTGTAATGGCAGCAACAGAAAGTTTGCTGCAGCTCCAGCAGGAGTTGGGGCTGTCTGGTCAATGGGCAGTGAGGCAGAGTACATATTGTGATTGGAGGCTTTAGCTAACATTAGCTCATAAACCATCTCTTCATCAGTACTGACACATGTTTTATTGCATCTATTGTCAGACTCTCTTTCAGACTCCTTTTAATAAGTCTGTCTTCCTTTTTTTGGGTTGTTATGTGGGGTACGCAGTTGTTGCCAATGCTGGAATAGCAACTTTCTCTGCATGATTTTCCTCTATCGAATCAGGGTTTCACCATCTGAAGGGACATGCACAGGCATCTGCATTTGTAGAATGGCCAATAGGAGCGCCTTCTCTCTGAAATGACCTGTGATTGGCCAAAGTCTCCCATCATGGGCTAGATTATCTAAAGCCTGAAAACAGAGACGAGAGGGAGTGCAGAAGTCTAGTTTTCTCTCAGAATAACAATGACAATATGCTCTAAGTTTATGTTCCATAGTATTTATGTTTTGAACAGCATGTCCCTGAGCTTGTCCAATCATGTTCTTATCATCTCAGAGACATTGCTAAAATAAGATCTATTTTAACTTTTAGAGACACAGAAACTGTTGTACATGCTTTTATCTCTTTGCGTCCTGATTAGTGCAACAGCGTTCATTCCTTCTCAACCAAAAAACCTTGACTTCAGACTATTTATAACTCAGCCACAAGGCTTTTAACCAAAACCAGGCGGTACGGCCACATCACAGGCAGTTTTAGCTTGGCTCCCTGTTTGGTTTAGGATTGATTTTTAAATCCTAAATTGACTGTTTTTAAGGCACTTGAAGGCCTGGATCCAGGTTACATTTCAGACCTCTGCGTAGTTCGTGATCCTCAGGCGGAGGTCTTCTCCTTGTCCCAGAGTCCAGACTGAGGACCAAAGGGGACAGAGCTTTAGCAATCAGGGCCCCGAGACTCTGGAACGACCTGCCCGAGGATATAAGGCTGTCTGAGTCACTGGTTTTGTTTAAGTTTCTCGTGAAAACGTATTTCTATCGGAAAGCACATCCTGACTTTATCTGAGCTGTCTATTTTATTCCTATCTTACTGATGTAATTTCCCAGTTATAGATTTTAGTTTTAGCCTTATTTTATCTTTTACTTATATGACAGTTTATTATATAGTTTATGCATGTTATTTGTTTTATTCTCCCTGTGTTTTGAATGTGCCTAGCACTTTGCACTGTGTTTTGAAAGGTGCTATATAAATACATTTTATTATTATTATTATTATTATTATTATTATTATTATTATTATTCATTTTTTATCTATTTATTCATTTATTATTATTTTTTATTTGTATTTTTTTATAGGTTCTTGGCCCAATGTAGGGTTAGAGACAAGACACATCTGAGTTGCATTATGGGAAATGGAGGATCCAGTGTTTTTGCAGCTAGACCTCATGTTTGGAACTAAAAATAAGCATATGGCAGCTTCTTCTGCTTTGATTTTGATCATTTGACCATGTTTTTAACACAAATCTGTTATCTCTGAGGTGAATGATTACTTCTTGCTCTGTCAGACTTCTTTAGTCCTTTCACCCTGTTCCCAGATCCCAGTATTCAATTTGTTACCAGTGGAATTGGCAGCCCAAAGAATGAAATGAGACCAGAATCATCCTTTAAGGGTCACATCATTACCTTTTCCAGCTCTATTTTATTGCAACTTTTGAGACTTTTGTGATATGACGCCTACAAGTGGACGCAGTGAAGGATGGTTCCTTGACAGGCCTCTCTCCTGGCATTTCTCCCCTCCTCTTTTCTTCTGTTCCTCCCTTTATCCCGTCCTCCTTTTCTTCGGAGGCCCTCCGGACCCCATCAAGCCTCATTCTGTTCATCCCACATGTGAGGGGTCAGTGCGTACCCCACAAGAATAAACCAGCCACTCAATGTGAGGATCTTTGTGTATGTCCTCATCCCCCTACCCTCTTTCTCACTCCCTCTCCCCTCACTTACTTGTGCCCTATAGATGAGAATTGGCTCCATTCACAGCTCTTCCCTCCCCCCTGGAGCGGACTTCTCAGGGCCCTAACAGCGCAATTCTATGCCTTATTGCTCCAGCTCCTCCATGGAGAGCAACCTCGTCAAAGCATTTGTGAAGACACAGAAGGAAATGAACTGGCTTTGTGCTTCGTCTTGACATATAGGCGCGATCACGTGGGGAAGTTTTCGGGGCGAGCGTTTAACAAGAGAAAAGGGCAGAATGTGTAAAATGTCTCTTAAAGGCCTCCAAGTGGCCATCTTGGAAGGAAAATGCCAGGACCTGCTTAGAAATTGAGCAGTTTTATGAGTTTGGCCCTGCTGGCTGTTATCCAGCTTAATCCACATTGTGTTCTGACTTCCTACGGACCCAAAGCTGGTTTCTCAAGCTCATCTCCACCTCATGTTTAATCTCCCCCAGCTCTTTCATTAGGACCACACCATGTGTTGATTCTAAAGAAATGAAGCGGACACCTCATTTCGAGCAAGAATGAGCCGGAGAGAGCTTTTGTCCGCAGCAGGAATGCCCATAAGACAGAGAGGAACACTGTTTGGTCTGACTCGGGTTGCTATACCAGTGCTGGAGAAAGCCATGGCAACGCAAGCAGAAGGTCCGCTGGACCACATAGCGCTGATACAATACGGCCGCTCCGGGTTTGTCATTCCAGTCAGGCCTGACCCAAATTACGACATCCTCGGCAAAAGTGGCCTACTTCAACCAGCACGCATGCACAGACATACTTAATTGGGCTTGCATATATTTGGCTGATAGCGATAATAAACAAAACATATGGATGTTTGAAGTCTAATCACTGAGGAGACGGCCCTGTTAATGATTTAATACCACAGTCCATAGCCCATGGCTGCTGGATTATTGGGGCTTTCCAATTGTTTACCCAATATGTCTACAAGCCACTTTCCCATCTGCGGTTATAATTCTCAGCGTTTTAAGCTTAATAGTCTTTTATGTTTTCATATGTTTATTATCTCTTATCAACAGCCTCGGGACAAAATCTGCTTAAAATGGGAAGAGCAACAAAAAAGCGATTAGGAGCATGTCTACAGAAACGTTTTGCTAAAATATGAAACAGTCAAATGGAAAACGGGAAAATACAGAAATGCAAAACACTGTTTTAATCACCAGAGAAACTTTAACTGAGTTTCTTCTGCAACGTAACCCAAAGTTTTCTTCACTGCAGCACTGCAAATAAATCCCACCTCCCAACAAACACACACTAAGAAACGGCCTTCATACCGTCTGCACACTCCAAACTTTTCTGCTCAACTAACCACCTCACCGTCACATCACACCTTCCCCACGAAAGCCGTGCATCAGTAAGTGTGCAACCAGAAAAGAAAAATTCCACTTACTTTATTTTGGAGGTCTGGTAGTTGTATATTAGAGCTTGAAGAAGTATTTTCTCTAGGCTCTTTTCATCTGCACCTCTGCCCCGCTGCCCTGCCTCTCCAATACTATTTCTCTTTGTGGGCTGAGCATGCGATAGCTGTGTAGTTTTTTTTTTTCTTTTTGTGTGTGTGTGTGTGTGTGTGTGTGTGTGTGTGTGTGTGTGTGTGTTGCATGGGGTGAGGGGAGGGTGGTGGGTTGGGTGTTGAATGCCGGGTTTCCTGACTCGTGATCAGGAGCTCATTACCCCCAAGGTCACTCCAGGGACGCCCTGCCTGGCACTCACTGAGACACCAGAGAGAAGATGTGAGATCGCAGACGAAGAGTGTGAGAGAAAGAGAAAGGAAGAGAGCAGTTAAGAGCCAAAGTGCCTGGGAGATCCGTGGGGACGAGGAGAAAGCGCTGCGAGGGAGGGGGAGGAAGAAAAAAAAAGAGATGCACAGATACATATAAACAGAAAGAGAAGGGAGAGACACTGATCCAAATGCCAACAGAGAGGCTGATATTCAGGAGCAGCGAGCAAACACAACAACAAAATGCGGCTGCAGGAGCCTGGGATGAGCCCACAGAGTGAGCAGGCTGGGAACAGCAGCCCGGCCAAACCACACAGAGTTATATAAAATATCTTGTTGATCCATGGAAAAGTGAGTCCAACCACAGCAATCAATAGAATATTGACAAACACCAGCTGGGCTCTGCATTTGTTTTTCAGCTTTTTATACCAGCCAGCACTGCAATATCATATTTACTGTGTCATGTGAATGACATCTGAGTGTATCTCTTATAAGTGTTTCTGTCGCTTCATTTTCAACTTCAAATATGGTGGATTTCTACACTGTTTTTTGGAGTTTCTAAAGCCGACCATGCACTAAAAGACTTTGAAAAGACTTCTGAAAAAATAAAATCTTAGAATCTGTGACTAAAAGCTCACATCGTCTTTAGATGTGACAGGGGTCTTTGCAAGAAACTAGATTCCTTTGAGATTATTTCCCATCCTGCTCCTGGTGGGAAACATTACACCAAACTTTAAGAAGTGTGACATATTCACAATTCCTTATATATGTTTAGGGTTCAGCTCTTGGGTGTTGACAATGTTCAAATCATTAAACTTCACTTTTTTCAAGACAAAAATCTTATGGTAATATAAAATATGTTTGTTGGAACGTCAAGACAAGAAAGAGACTGAGTTTTATGACCACCTTAAGGCTGATTTATACTTGTCAGCTCTATGCAGAGCCAGCGATGTAGCCTACACACATGGCCTGTGGCATTGTGAGCAATTATACTCGTGTCACTCTGTAGTTACACCTCCAAAACACTAGTTGGCGGTGGAGTTTCTGTGAAGTGCTGTAAAGTTTAGTTGATTCAAAACACACATTAAACATGGCTTAATAGAGACTATTTCAAACACAAGTACACAAATCAGCTTCACTATAACTCGCAGCATTCACAGACAAACACTTGTCTTTATCTGGACACATTTTCCCCACAAATACAACATGCTAACGCTATTAGCACAAGCCTATGGCATTTTACATTGTATAAATTAGCCTAGCAGCTAGCAGACTTTTCCTCTACTCATATAAAACCAGGGACAACAGCAACATTTAACAAAGGTAACGCTACAAAATTCAGCTCCATTACAACTCACAAGGTTTACTGACAAAACAACTGTCTTATACTAAATAAGTTTCCCAAACAAATACAACATGCTAACGTTACTAGCACAAGCCTATGGCATTTTACATTGTGTAAAGTAGCCTAGTGGCTAGCATAGATTTCCTCTGCTCATATGAAGCCAGGATAAATCACACACAAGACTTAAAATGCTATTTTTGTGGAGGCTTTATTGTCTTCACAATTTATTGTTTCTTATCTGTGAAATTAAAGTAAATAAAAGCTTTGTTTCCACTGAGGGAAATGGTTTCAGCTTACAGAAATAGACAGGAGGTCTGCGTCGCTGCGACGTGGAGTTACATTTCTGGGGAGGTGCACGTCAGGCTACAGCAAAAAATATGAAGTCCTGCTTCCTGGGTAAAAGTCGGTGGAATCTGGACCCATCCACCACCTCTCCTGCCCACCCCACTTGGACTTTTTAGTGCCTTCACTAAACTTGTTGTCCAACTGCATTTCCCCAGGCACCACCTAGCACTGTTACACAATAACGTCAACCAGCCGCATATCATGTCGACGTGAAAGGAGGGGTTTATTTGTTGGTGCCTGACACCAGAAGTCACTAACCAAGCAGCAGTATTCAATGACTTAAGAGTGAGACCGGTTACTACTGTAGCTCACCCAGCGCCCCAGAGTTAGCTAGGGTTGTTGCTGGAGTCTTGCGTCCATGAGTAGATGCACGCTTCCTTCTGCGAGGTGATACTGTTTGCATGTTTAGCTCAGTAGAAAAAAAAAAGTTCCTACATGAAACTGCTCACAACAAGGTCTGTGGATTATCTTGAGTAGCCAGGTTATGATTTGTGGAAAGAGACATTGATGTTGAGTTTTTCAAATATATTTTTTTGGCACTTTGAGCACCACAAGCTGAGTGCCATCTAGTTCCATTATATTGGAGAGAAGGCAGACATCTCTACAGCTGAAATCTCCAACACATACATACATACATGACATACGAACCGATGTAGGATCATGACTGCGTGCATGGCTAAACCAGGTGTGGGGGCTTTGGCGTTGTTTATAAGCACCTTAGTAATTTGATCAGTAATGTAACTAATTATTTTTACTGATGAGTGATTTGTAATTACTTTTTTTTCGTAAGTAATTGGTTATATTGATTTTTAGTTTGACTAATCAATTACTTGGCTAATTATTTTAGGCCTAAACAAAACACCACAGTCCCACGTGGTGCTTAATTTTAATCACTAACAGTTGACTGTTAAGAAATCAGTCTACTTTTAATTGTCAAACTTTTATATAGATAATTAAACTGGTCCTTCTGACTGCCCTTGTCTCTCTCTTTCTGTCATGTCTCTGGTTAGATCCATTTTAGCTCTCATTTGTGGCCAGATATCCTTTTAGAGGCAGTGTGGTAATAAGTTGTGGATCCTCTCAGGGTGTTTGGAGCGGCAGATGGCTGGAGATGACCCTACAGAGCAGCCCCGGCACTCTGCCGCAGCTGGACAAGCCAGGATTGACAGATTACGGCACACACGATCAATAAAGTGTACCATTAGTTCTGTCCACAAAGCCCTGTGTACAATACTGATGTCAGACCGCCTCTGTAAACTCTCTGTAGTGCACACACAGAGAAATGGCCTTATATTTCACCTTATAAGGCTGTCTTTCCTGGCTCGGGGTATTGATTGAGTGCCTGGCACGGATTCATTCTGCACTGGAGAAAAAAACATACCTCATAGTGCCAAAACAGCAGCTCTTTAGCTCATAATTATGAGACAGCCCATTTGGGTGCCAGAGTCTGTTGTTAAGGTGATACTTGGAGCTCTTCACAGTGTGATTATAATGCACCATTTCACTACTTTAATGGTCATTTACAGGTGGGAGCATATTCAAGAACCATTAGAGAGTGTGATGGAGACTCAGCATTATTAATTTAAAGACAGGGGCACAAATTAGCATTAATGGTCACCGATGGTCAACTTTGTTCTTAAAACGAATACAAAAATCTTCCCACCAGAGCTGTTTCTGAGCCCAGTCTCATCTCCTTTCCAATAAGTCGCAGAACCTCCAGGGCAGAGTAAAGTCTCAATTAGCAAGTCTCAAATCTCTGAATGATTGCCATTAAAATGACACTGAATTTGAACATTTTTCTCTCAAAGTTATGTATAGTAGATGTATAGTTATATATGTATATGTTGCTTGTTAGATACATATAGTCAAAATAAAATTACAACATAGGTAAAGGTTTAGAAAAAAACATAATTGTTTGGCTCAACATTCATGCTGTATGAGAAGCAAACTGCAGGGTTCTGTGTGACAGTCCAGGGTTTGATGGACCCATCCACCTCTCCTCCTACTTTCCAGCTACTTATATACGTTGTTACCAGCGGCTGCGTTTCAAACTGCTGCCATCCAGCAGCGTTACACACTGACGCCACCTGGTGGCATATGATACCTCTGCAAAAGGTGCCTTTTTGCGTTGGTGATTGACGCCCAAATCTATAAAGCTACAAATTTGGACAGTTCAGAATGAGAATTGGGTGGAACCTGGGGTGTGCATGTTGTTGAATCCACTTGGATATTGCATTAAAACCCTTGCTGGCTATCCTTGGGGTCGTCCCCCCCCCCCTTACAACACGATATCAGATCATAAATATTGGACTAGTTCACCAGTTGTTAAATGGGGCTTTGCTGCCGATTGTTGGGAGAGTATCAGGCCCAAAATCAGCCTGATTCTCATGTAGTGTGTACCCACCATTAGATATGCTGTCTTTAAATGTACAGGCCTATGAGATAGATATCCCTGGTCTGTTGAAGAGCAGTTCAACTGATTCTTCAATGCCTGATTCTTTTGATAAAAGTCTGATTCAAGTCTCAAGTCCAACCACCAGCTTTCCACCACCACACTGTGCAGCTTCATTCAGAAAAACGATGACAGAGGTTTGAAGAGGTGCGGAGACTTGATGTTATAAAATTCAAGAGACCGAAGCTCAATCACAGCTATTCAAACTTAAAGTTCACAAAGGAGAATGAAAAGGTGCACCTTGAACGCCTTTTGCCTAGCAACTGAGAGCTTGTTTTTTTTTTTAAAGCCATCAAAGAAGTGCTTTGTTTAAAAAATGGTGAAATTACAGAGCTATCACCCAGCAGCAAAATTATGGATGAGTAAGTAATAAGCCTTTAGGCTGTTTGGTGCATCTGCTACAGAAAGATATATACTCATCTAAAGTATAAATGCAGGAACTGGAAATAAAAGCTTTGATTTTTAGACAAGAACAAGCTGAGAATTTAAGCATCTCTTTAGTGCACACATTGCATCAAAAACCAATATGTTTTCAGAACATCTACACAAAGGCAATGATGGTTTCCATTTTTCTAACCACTGAATGTTTAACTGTTTTATGGTTTATTCAATAATTACCACTTTGGTCTATTATCTATTATATATGTATTAAA